CATTGTGGGGGCTGGGGTTTTGCTCCCCATGGGCGCTCATGGGAAAAGACTACACTGCGCCGGCAGGGCGGGAGCAAAGCCTCACGGGAGCTGCGGTTCTCGGGCCGGCCCCAGGGCCTCCCATCTATCTGGTTCTGATGAGTGGGGAGGAGTCAACAGGCAGAGGGAGGAGCCAAAGAGAGCGAGTGGGCGGGGCCAGAATGTTAATAATAGCTGCTGTCACCCACCCTAGAGCTGGCTGCATGGGGCTATATTTAATCCAGGAATCAGGACTCCTGGGTTCTATCCCCAGCTCTGGTAGGGCTGTGGTGTCCAGCGGAGGGGGCGGGGGAGCCAGGAATCCTGGATTCTGTCATTGGCTGGCTCATTGGGTCTCTTCCCCTGTTGGTGCCTCACTTTCCCCTCATGCAATTCCAGGAGAACATGCCCAGCGGTGGTGCATAGCAAACTTACCATAGGCAGAGCTGAGCTGGGCATCAACGTCACAGCCCTGGGTGGGGAGCCCACAGGTTAGGGTGGGGTAGCTGCACTACGCTCCTGCTTGCCACCCGTTCACCTAGGGTTGCATCAGGGAGTTGGGAGGAACCACAGAGGAGACAGGAACCCACCACCCCAGGGCATGGTCATAGAATTGTAGGGCTAGAAGGGACCACAAGGGTCTTGTCTAACCCCCAGCAGGTGCCCAGTGGACCCTATTGTCCTGCCAGAACCAAGGAACAAGCTCCCATGTTCCCTCCAAACTACTAGATCCCATCCCTAACATCTCTTCTGCCCCTGCAGCTGTGCAGGGCACTAACCCCTCTGGGGCTCTGGGCCCACAGGGAGAGACAGAAATGATAAACAAGGACAAGATGACCTCTGTCTGCACCAGCCCTAGGGCTGTGGGGAGATCAGCTGTTGAGGTGAAGCTCCATAGAGTTTACACTGTCAGCACCTGCCTGTTTATAGGCTCCCAGCTAGGAGAGGAAGACACTTCCCTCTGGGTACAGCACAGACCAGTTCCCACAAGCCACCCATTAGCCAAACTGGTTCCCAGTCGGGGCTGTAGATGCTACAGACAAAGAGAGAGAGTCCTCTGCCCCATAAGTCTTAACGATCTGAGCTCCCGCCTCCAAAATGGTCCTGAATCTAGCCCCCCGTTTTAACCCATTAGACGCCACTTCCCTCCCAGAGCTGGGAGGAGAACCCAGGAGTCCTGATTTTCAGTCCTCTTCCATCTCATTCGCTACTGTAACCCACCCCCACCATTAATGACTGGCATGGTCAGCGCAGGAGACAGTGGTGAAGCAGCCAACGTTGAAAGTTTAAAACCTCTGGTCAGGGTGATGTGTCACCACAATGATCCGGCCTCACCCTTCTGCCCTGAAGCCTCAGCGACGCCACGGCTCTGGGTCAGAGAACCAGTCAGGGCAGAGGTGGAGACACAGACCGATTTTGAGCCTTCCTGCATCCCAGCATGGAGCCAAGATGCCTGGTTCTCTGCCCAGCTCTGGGAGGAAGGGGAGGCTTGGGGCTAGAGCTGTGGGGGGCTGAGAATCAGGATTCCTGGGTTCTAGCCCAGCTCTGGGAGAGGAGTAGGGCCTAGAAGGTGAGCTGGGAGGTGCTGAGCCAGGACTTCTGGTTCTAGCCCCAGGTGAGAGGATCAAGGAAGTTTTCTGGCTCCTGGGGAGCCGTGGGTATTTCCCCGCTGTGGAGCAGCGTGTAAGAACGACACCAGCCTGACACTGCTGTGAGTCAGTCACAGCCGGTCACATTGGGAGTGAGAAGCTGTAAACCCAGGAAGCAGGGTTGCTCCATCCGCCCAGCTTGAGTTTCAGCAGATGGGGAAACAGATCTGGGTATCATCATATCAGGGGGTGACTGGAGATGGCATCAGCACCTTCGCCTTGCTCAAGAGCCGGCAGCGGAGCCCCTCGTGGCTGTGCACACACCTGGCTGTTCAGTAGAGGGAGCTGGCGCAGTGCCCCAGAGCGACACAGGGTGTGAAGGGGGGCTCTGTGGGGGCACTCTCTCTCTTCTGAGTGCCAAAAACCAGCATGGTAAAATCTAGTCTAATGATTGAGCCCTGGGAGCCAGTGCTAGGAGGGCAGTAGGGCCTAATGGTAAGAGCAGGGGAGCTAGGAGCCAGGACTCCTGGGTTCTCTTCCCCACACTGGGAGAGCAGTAGAGTGTAGTGCACAGGTAGGAAACTCTGGTCTGTGGGCTGCATCTGGCCTGCTACTTAATTCCATCCAGCCTGTAGGCTGGAAGTCCCAGTGTGGCCCTAGGCGCAGGGGATATCAAGGAAGTTTTGTATGCTGTTCCCACCCCCAGCACTGGCATTGCAGCTCCCGTTGGCTGGGAACCAGGGCCAATGGTAACTGAGGGGTGGCGCTTGCAGACGTGAATGGCTCACACCATGCAGAGCCACCTGGCCACTGCTTAGGGGCCTGACATGGCGGCAGCTTCTGGGAGCCAGGGTAGGAGGGAGCCAGCTTAGCCCCACTGCATTGCTGACTGGGAGCCAGCCAGAGCCTGCGCCCCAAACTTCCTGCCCAGGCCAGAACCCCCTCCCGCTTCCAGACCCCAACCCCTGGCCTATCCTTGGGCCCCCTCCTCCATGTACTCCAAACCCCTCAGACCCAGACTCACCCCACATCTCGCACTCCCATATGGAGCCCAGGCCCCAACTCCCTGCTCCAGCCGGGAGCCCCTTTCTCACTCTGAACCTCTAATTTCTGCTGCCCCCCAGCCTCCACTCCCACCCTCTCACGGGGCTGGTGCCATGAGTGCTGGCTCACCCCACTGCAGGGGAGGAGAGAGCCCTGAGAGGCTTGTCTGTGGCCTGCAATTGATTTTTTTCTGTGGGTCGGGGGCCCTTGGTAGAGAAAATGTTCCCTGCCCCTGCTCTAGTGGTTAGAGGGGGACTTCTGGGTCCGCTCCCCAGCTCTGGGAGGGGAGTGGGATCTGGTGGGCTTCAGCAGGGAGCCAGGACTCCTGGGGTCTCTCCCGAGCAATAGGGATCAGTGGTTCGGGACAGGCCCTCACCCCATGGTGGCTGTGAGGTGCTCACCCAGCAGTGGGGGACGTGCCCTGCCCCACACCAGACTGCCCTGTCATTTCCTTCTTGCACCATCTCCCCTGCCCATCCCTTCTCAGAAGAGCATGAGTTGATGTGGGTGTCTGGGCCCGGCTCTCCCCCCGCAAGAGGTTCGCCAGGGCCATGCCCACAGCCGCACAAGGGGTGGCACTGCCCCCCCCCTCTGGTGCCCCATCCCCTCCTCTTGCCCACCATCCCCGTCTTCCCTTCCCTTCCCTTCCCTCTTTCAGCTCCCTGCTTGGCTTCCTCCCTCCCCCACCTTCCTCGGTCTCTGTCCCTGCCCCTCCCCTGGATGTGTAACTCATCCTTGTAATTCCACCCCTGGCGGAGCTGGGCTGGGCCGGGCCGGGCTGGGTTGGGTGGTGACCCTGTGTATATAAGGAGCTGCAAGGAGCCCTTCACCCCTACAGTGTCACCTTTCTCCGCCGGGCAGAGCACAGGTGAGAGCTGCTGGCTGTGGAGCATCCCTAGGGGGATGGGGGGGGTGTATGGAAATGGGGCAGGGGGCCTGTCCCCTCGAGGGCGCAAGCTCTCAGGGGGGTGGGAAATGGGGCCCATCCTAGGGGCACCAGTTCACGGGGGAGGGAATGGGGCCCAGGGCCCATCCCCTCTAGGGGTACCACTGGCCCAGAGGGTGGGATGTTTGGGAAGGGCTCCTGTCCCCTTGAGGGGCACCAGCTTTGGGAGGGGGGAAATGGGGCCCAGACCCTGTCCCCTTTGGGGCACAGTCTCCAATCTGGCCCCAGAATGGGGGACTATCTGGCTCAGAGCAGGGGAGTTGAATCCATTCTCTGCAACTCTTCCTCCAGGGTCCTCGCCGCAAGAGACGTCTGAGAAATGACGCCCATCTGGGTCCAGCACCTCTTTGTCCTGGGTATGCTGTTGGGAGGCAGCCACACCAGTACCAGTGCCGCAGGTAACGCTGCTCCCCACCCGTGCTGGGGCAGCAGGATGGGGTTATTGGCCACCTCCCTGCTCTAAACCCCTCTTTCTGTCCTGCAGATTCCTGGTGCTATGGAGACGCACAATGCGGTAAGAGAACCCTGCCACCCCCTGACCACACCCAGAGAGGAAGCTAATTACTGTTTTCCTGCATTGGCATGGGTGGGGAAACTGAGGCACAGGGTAGGGTAAGGTCAGCATTCCAAAGCAAGGGCTAGAACCCGAGAGTCCTCCAAGCCCTAGCCCCACCTCCCCCTACTCTAAACCACTAGGCAGCACTCCCCCGTCATAGCTCGAGAGAGAACCCAGGAGTCCCTGACCCCTAATTCCCCCCACTCTGTCCCACCAGAGCCCACTCCCCTGCCAGAGCCGGGGGCACCACCCAGGAGACCTCACTCCAAGATTAAAATTTGCATCAGGCAGCCGCCTCTGGGGTGGGTGACAGCAGCTAATTAACATTCTGACTCCTCCCCCATTTCCCTTCTTTGGCCCCTCCCCCTTTCTGTTGGCCCCTCCCCTCTCCGCAGGTCCGGCGACATGGGTGGCTCTGGGGCAATGTAATGGCACCAAGCAGTCCCCGATCAACATCAACACCAGTGCGGCCGTCCGCGCGCCCCAGCTGGGGGCTCTGAAACTCACTGGCTATGGAGATGCCAAAAAGCTGAAGGACATGCAAAACACGGGGAAGACAGGTAGGTACAGAGCACCCCCTAGGGGCGAGCACCTTGCGCTGCCTGCCGGACACCTGGGTCCCATGGCCTGGCTTGGTTTCTCTCCCCCTGCAGTGTATGTGCATTTAGAGGACGGTCTCCAGCTCAGTGGCCCGGGGCTCCCAGCTACCTACACAGCCAAATCCTTCCACCTGCACTGGGGCCAGGGGCCCGACCAGCCCGGCTCGGAGCATCGCATCAATAACCAACAATATAACCTGAGCGTGTCCGATGCTGCCCAGGATCCCGAGGGAATCGCTGTGCTGGCCTTTTTCCTCCAGGTGAGAGACCGTGCAGGGCCACGAGCAGGGCGCCTGGGTTCTGCCCCCATCTCTGTCCAAGGAGCAGGGTCCAATGGATTAGAGCAGCGGGGGCGGCAGGACTCCTGGGTTCTCTGGGTGGGAAGTGGCATCTTAACCTGAGCGTGTCCGATGCTGCCCAGGATCCCGAGGGAATCGCTGTGCTGGCCTTTTTCCTCCAGGTGAGAGACCGTGCAGGGCCACGAGCAGGGCGCCTGGGTTCTGCCCCCATCTCTGTCCAAGGAGCAGGGTCCAATGGATTAGAGCAGCGGGGGCGGCAGGACTCCTGGGTTCTCTGGGTGGGAAGTGGCATCTTACGATTCGAGGAGGGACTGGAGTCACAGAGCTGCTCTAGGACTCTCATCCCTCCCCGTGCCTCAGTTTCCCTATGTGTACTCATGGGATCTTGTCCCCCCAGGCAACAGATAAGGCACAACCCTCCCGCTCCTGGGGTAACTTCACCCAGTGCTTGAAGAAGGTGCCTGTGGAAGGTGAGTAGCCGTAGACCGGGGATGGGGGACGCTGGCTTATGACAGTGGGTCTCAACCTGCAGCCCACAGGCCACCTGCAGACCAATCAGCACACAGCTGCAGCCTGTGTGGCAGCCCCGGGGCCCCTCGGGG